GTCTCATCATGTCAACAGAGGGAGCGTCATATGGCCATGTTTGTCTCACTCATGTCAACAGAGGGAGCGTCATATGGCCATGTTTGTCTCATCATGTCAACAGAAGGAGCGTCATATGGCCATGTTTGTCTCATCATGTCAACCGGGGGTTGCGTCATATGGCCATGTTTGTCTCATTCATGTCAACAGAGGGAGCGTCATATGGCCATGTTTGTCTCATCATGTCAACAGAGGGAGCGTCATATGGCCATGTTTGTCTCATCATGTCAACCGGGGGTTGCGTCATATGTCTCATCATGTCAACAGAGGGAGCGTCATATGGCCATGTTAGTCTCATCATGTCAACAGAGGGAGCGTCATATGGCCATGTTAGCCTCATCTTGTCAACAGAGGTAGCGTCATATGGCCATGTTAGTCCCATCATGTCAACAGAGGGAGCATCTCATGTATTCATGCTAGGTCATCACCTAAATTAAGACAAAAAACATTCATACTTATTTGCTACTTATATTTAAGTAGCATTAATATATTTAGCAAATACTACTTAATAAGTATATGCTACGCAAAACACTCATTAAAAATGATGTTGAAGATGATGACCTAAAGTCTCTGTGCAGCGCTAGCAGTTAATGGTCAGATGCTATGATGTATCATTTCATGACATTCAAAACTGAGCTGAATATGATCGGCCTAAGTGCACGTAGCGGCCAATATTTTGTCAGTAATTGTTGAGTTTAGCTTGAAAAGCCGTCAGTGATTGGCTGACAGAGTTAGGAGCTCGTAAAGTTTTTGATAGTACGGCCCTGTTTGCCTTCACACGCCGGCCTCACCTCTTGCTCCTGGACGGACGACGACGGCCGTCTTCTCTCCTCTCCCGCGAGCATCTCCTCGAACGGTCCCTGTCATTATTACCATCACGGTCTCTTGCTTCGTCTCTTCTGTCGCCGCTCCTCGAACGGTCCCTGTCATTATTACCATCACGGTCTCTTGCTTCGTCTCTTCTGTCGCCGCTCCTTGAACGGTCCCTGTCATTATTACCATCACGGTCTCTTGCTTCGTCTCTTCTGTCGCCGCTCCTTGAACGGTCCCTGTCATTATTACCATCACGGTCTCTTGCTTCGTCTCTTCTTTCGCTGCGACTTCGGTCCTTCCGACAGTCTCGGTCTCTATCAACGTTGCTGTCTCCTTGCCTGTCTGCCCTGCTCAAGAAATCCCTTTATGGACGAAACTAAACCTGGCTAATCGCGTGGGTTGCAATAAAAAAATTACTATTAACTACATGATATTTACAAATCTGGATCATATCATTTTCATATCAGGAAACATATTCTTGATATAATTTTACCATTATGGTTTATATCATGAATGAGTTTTTGATCAACAATTGTCTTTCAAGTTGAAGAGAATAAATGTGCAACATGAAGCCGCCTCACGAAGGGAGAACTGGCAGGTTTTCAGACAGAGTGCACTTTCGTTTATATTTTCTTTTATTTCTGAACTTATTAATTTCTCAGAGTAACTACTATGGAAGAATTTGTTGCACCTTTCTTTGAGGTTGTGGTCGTTGTCTTGCCAGTTTTTCTGCTGAGTTCCGCTTGACTGAATTGCCTGCAACAAACATTTTTTATGTGGTCTACATAATCTGGAGACACTTGTCCAAACATAACATATCAGGTGAACATAACTGTCAAACAAGAATATTTAATTTGAAGTGGTAGTTGCGTAGCCATCATGGGGAAACATACAAGGGACAAAAATAGCCTAGGGATAAGATATTTTGCTTTCAAATCAAAAGTCAGAAACTAAAATCACCTTCTATGGTGTATGTAGCCTAAGTAAAGATATTGATGAATCTGCTGCTTCTGAAATTTGTGTGGGCATTACCTGGTCAACCTTATTACCTGGTCAAGACGGTCAGTAAATTCCCATTTTAATTGCTCCAGTTGTTGTTGTAACTTCTGCACCTCTTGTTTTAGCTGCTTAATCTCTTGTTGTTGCTGCTGCTCCAGTTCTTTTAAGTGCAGCTGCTTTAACTCATCTCTTTTCTCTTGTCTCTTCTCTACTCCTATCAGTTCACACAGAACAAAGAATCTCTGATCCCATCCTAACTGTCGAATCTGTTGTTGCAGCGACTGTTGTAACTGCTGCTGCGACTGTTGTAACTGCTGCAGCTCCTGCTGTTGCAGCTCTAGTTTTAGCTGCTTAATCTGTTGTTGTTCCTGCAGCTCCTGTTGTTGCAGCTCTTGTTTTAGCTGCTTAATCTGTTGTTGTTCCTGCAGCTCCTGTTGTTGTTTTTGTAACTGATGTAGCGCCCCATGTTGTTTCAGCTGTTGTTCTATCTGTTGAATCTGTTGTTGTTGTGTCTGTTGTTGTGCCTGCTGCTTTTGTTGTTGCAGCTCTTGTATCTGATGTAGCTGTTGTTGTTGCTGCTGCAGCTGTTTTATTATCTGCTGCAGCTGTGGCATCTGATGCAAAGAATCTGCCGAGACAAAGAGTATTTACTATACACCGGCTACTGGGCAATTAAAAAAAAATTATAGGCATGTTTGTTTGATATTTATCACTATATATGCTCATAACAACACAGCCAAAACAGAAGTATACTGAGAAAAAATAGCACAGTTGAATAGCAATGGAGTTTAGGTAGCATGGGACTTACCCATTATGGAGCCAAGCCAGGCAAGTAACCACTTCTCTGCAGGATCAAATGGAGCTTTTGTAAGAATTTTAATCCTCTCACAAGACTAAACTAACATCATTCACAATTATGAGTCTGGAAAGAGAAGAGCATACGTGAGTAAATATAATGTAAGCTGCAGTCACACAAATAATAATTAAAAGTCAGGCAACACCAGTAGGGCATATTAAAGCTATTAAAGCATAGCAGCAAACAAGAGACTGTTTAGTTGCCCTCCCTGCTAGAGTCCTATGAGTAGATTAGTTAAGTAACATGGATACCAGCAACATTAATAGATATCCAATATAATTTTGAAGTAAATCAGGAAATTAAAATGAACTTGTTTCTAAAAATCTCTTGTCTGCAAGCAGCCACTATTTGTGGATGCTGGAATATTCAGCATAATTGGCCAAAAATTACGACCTGTGATTTTTGGAAAATTACCTGAAATTTGCGGGTAATAATGTTCATTTAACGTCATGAAGTAGAAGTGAAAAGTAAAAAAATCACAAGATTTTTTGACATCAAGATAAAACCAATATAATATACTTACCATATATATAAAATAGATAAAACCAATATGATATACTTTTGAATGATTTGATAAATATGAATCACATTAGCACCAGAATAAAGAAGTAGAAAAAGCACATTGCATGCATTATTTTCATCTAATATCAAGTACCATCAATCAGGGTAATAAGGGACTTGTGGGTTTAATTGGGACAGTTGTACCACATTTTGTAGATGTGTTGTAGCAGCTAAACTAATAAAAATATAGCAAAACTTAAAATAGTGGTGTAAAGTTCAACATTTTTATTATCAATGTAGCATAAAGTTAGTTAATAAGGTACACCCCCCAGGGTAATACGGGACACCCCTAAAATGCATTTACAGTAGAACCTTGATAATCAAAGGCTCAAGTTAAACAAAAATCAATTACCAACAAAAATATTTGATTACATTTACTATGCTCAGCAAAAAAAAGTTCACATAACAAAAAATAATGCATCATTGGTCATCATAAAATTGTGCATAGGATGTCATAGATAGAAATGTGCACTGGGCATATGTGCTAGAATCAAATGTAATTAACCTGAACTATGATTAATTTCTCAAAAAAATATGATGGTTGTCACTAAAACATTCCTTTCTGGTCCAGACAATTTTTTTTGTTATAGTGAATTCACTTAATCCAGTTAAAATGGTGTGAAATTACAAGATATCCTGTAAGCTTACAAATACAGAAGAAATGCCATATGGCTGCTGATATGAAGCTTGCAGTGGACATTTTGTTGTAAATGCTCTATGGCATGTTCATGAATATGGTAATATCATATCAACAAAGAAAAAACCAGTAACAAAATGTAGACATATTCAGTCTTGTTAAACTAGCTAATTAAGTCTATAATTAAGTTTCAGCTAGTTAAGGTCCATCAGTTGAAGGACTAGATGGTACAGCAACATGGTCTCAAGTGACAGCCCTTTTACTCATTTCAATTTGGACTCAGGTATCTTGTGACAAGTGGTGTAACACCTGCACCTGCTAAATGACATTTTGTAGTTTTAGAGGTTCTGGAGGAGGCTGTACTTGCTGATGCCATTGGTAGACTTGATAGACTAATATTGTCTTTGACCCGTGGCATCTTAACACATTGACTAAGTATTGGTACATATGCATACCACGAAATGCATTTCTCCAGGAGGTAGTGGTACATAATTCAGGTTGCCTAAAATTGGCCAAATCCAAAAACAAAAAAAGTGGAAGTGTGCTGGACGTTCCAGATTTTTGGGTCCTGCTTTCCAAATTGCTATGTTTACCAGTTAATATATTACCCCTCTGGATTTCCACACTGTTTGTAGGTTCCACTATAAAAATTCCATCTATTTTCTTTTTGCAATATTTAAAATTTAATTAGGAAGTACCCCTATCATAAATTTTAGCCGGCCAATGCAATTGAGAAAAACTAAATCACGGAATTTGTCCAGAAAAAATGATTATCTGGCAACCCTGCTTAAAAAAAAGTACAAAAATGAAATAATAGTGAAAGATTAAGCAATCGTAGTCAACGTGTTAAACGACTACAGAAAAGAGCACCATTCCACTGTCATCTAATTGTCCTACTTAGTTAGTGACAATGTGTCACTAACTCGCGATGCATGCCTGAACTTGTATGGAATGCATACTAAACTTGTACAGTTCTCACATAAGGCATGATTAAAGGCAAGACAGCAAAATTATTCACTCAATATTCAGCCATACATTGCCTAATCTGCCCACTAATTTAACTGCCAAATTAGTCTGGCAGTGAAACACATCTGCAAATGACCTGCTACTGCTCATTAACAATCAAGAGCTAACATATTATTCCTTAATCCACTTGCTTAAAACATCTCATTTTGTCTCAAATATTTAAGATAACTCTCCTCTTGTTATATTAATTATTGTTTCACTTTGACCTGTCTCAAATAGTTTCATGCCGGGACACAAGTTTTAAAGTACGGGACACAAGTCTTGTCCCAGTTCATACATATATTCCGGGACCAATTTTACCTTCTGTCCCTGTAATTTCTCATCTTGTCCTGTTTGTCCTGGTTTGTTTCAAGAAATTTATTCCAAGACTCGGGAGTCTAGTTCCCAGGGGTAATTTGGGACACTTTTATTTTGCCTCTGGCATCTTATAAATAGCATATGGAATTTTTTCCAGAGATGCCATACAATCACCCTCACAAAAAGCTTTAAAATGAGTCCAATTTTGTTTATGGAATGTTTCATGGCAAGAAGTTATTACCAAAAAACGATCAAAACCATCCCATATTTCCCTGTTTGACAGTATTCTAAACAAGAGGGGCAATTGAAAAGCAGCTTAAACTCATCGGCATGAGGAGTTGTTTTGAAATGTATAAATTATGCATTGGATCCATTGTCATCCATGAGCCACTGATGATGATGTAATTTAATTGATTTTGGAATTAATGTATACTCATTTTTATGGTAATGATCTAGAAAAGTGTGATAGTCCAATAATTCATGTTATGTATGACCATATAAAGGTTTTGCAATACCATATTTATTCTAAAATTACTATATCTATTGTTGTTTTAATTGCCCATCCTGGTAGTGGTGACTAGGTAGGGGGGTGATAGGTCAGTTTTCCAGGCACTTGGTGCTACTGGTAGTTCTACTACCATCACTGGCTTGCTGACCCGCCAGAACCATTTTATTGCATTACACAACACCCTGGACAAGCCAGGTACTCATTTATCAACCAGAGTTGGATGAATGGCTGAGTTGACCATGAGCTGAGCTTCGTGGAAGAACTTGTCCTCAGTGGAACTCAAACCCGGGAGCTGGGTGCGAGAGACTGAGTCTCTCACCACTGCACCACCACAGCTCTACTATATCTATTCACTATTCTATATCCATTCACTATTCCACTAAGCTGTGATGATCTTTGAGCAAGGTAAAAATGTAATTTAGTTCTTTTTACGTAAACTTGGTGTGACATTACAAACATTGCCAGGGTTGTGAGAGCAATTGTTTGACTAGAGCACATTTGGGGAAACAAGTGGGATGTGGCATACAATAAGAACCAGAATAGGTGGTGAAATTTGCAATGAATAATTAGGTTAGGTCAAACAATATCTACTGTCATTTGGGGTAATAAGGGACAGTTTTGAGCATTTTTTGCTAATAGCTTCTTACCATGAAACATTTCAAAATAGGTACAAGTTTGGACTCATTTTAAAGATTTTTGCAAGAGCTATTGTATAACTTTTCCAAAAAAACTACAAATACTATTATTAAGGTGCCAGACACAAAATAAAAGGTTCCATAATTACCCCTGGGAACGAGGTAATCAGAGGCACTTGAAATAAAACTTAATTTTAAAATGTTTGAAGAGTTCTTTTCTTCCATTGTAAATGACATAGATGTAGAATCAATGACATTTTCTGTGACTTCTACTCATTTTTTCTTTATTGATATGCTATTACCATATTCATAGATTACTGTATCTTATGACAGTATTTATGTGATATTGCCGTATCCATGAACTTGCCATACAGCACTTACAATGACCTTGTCCACTGCAAGCTTCATATCAGCAGCCATATAGCATTTCTTCTGTATCTGTAAGCTTCCAACAGGATGTCTTGTAATTTCACACCATTTCAAGAGGACCATTTCAGTCAAATAAAAACTTTTTATTTACAGGCAGATCTTTTATAAACTTGCTTTACATGCGTAAAACAAAAATCTAAGACATTTTAGTTCATGCAACTTTTTCTAAAAAATGAAGGAAAACATTAAATTAATAGAAAACAGCAAAAAAGGGGGTAGGTACTGTAAAAATTTATTTCCTCCCAGGATTTTCAAGCTAAAACATTGAGAGACATATCATTTGATGACCATATGTAAAGATACCTAAAGATCATACATTATTCTTTTGAGTTTTTTTCAATTGCCTTATTTTTTTATTTTTCTGATTTTTTTTTCAATTTTGACCCTTTTTTTCAATACATAATTAAAACTAAAAAGAAATTAAAAAAAAAATGACCAGATGATCTCTAGAGATTTTTTTTAATTGAATGGTAAACTTCGAAATGCTGTCGCTTGAAAATCATAGGACAAATTTTTAAGATGGCATGTTTTGGAAATTTCAATTGTTCAGGGGGAGCCTAAATAAAATTTATTGAAAAAAGTAGAACATGCCAAAAAATTGCTTCATATTGTAGCCAAAGCTTTCCCAGTGCCAATTAGTTGCATCTAGGGTACCAGCAACATTGGTATTAATCAGCTTTGTAATATTACCATGATAACAGCAAAATGGTATCAGCTTTGTTGAACATGTCTTGTTTGTAGCTTTCAGATGAGTGCAAACACTTTGCAATTGACAAGAATAATGACCTATAAATACAGATTCAATTTAGAGAATTACTTTTACATTGAAAAAGTTTATTTAATATATTTTTTAAATTGCTTTACGCAAAAACTAGAGCATACACATACATGCCGTTTGTAGCATTGGACATGCTATTTTAGCAGCTACAAAATAAGTCAAGAAACTGGAAAAGCCCAAATTTTCTGTTTATGACTGAAACAGACCCCTTTTAATTGGG